CGAAAGACGGATATTCTCAATTAAACAAACTGGTCGACACGGATATTGATTGAACCCACGCTTTTTTTGCGCCCCACAGCAGCCAAGAGCCAAATCCGACACATTACAGTTACACGCCAGTTTTTCATTGCAATGTCGCTTCTTTAAATGTCGAAAAGGTCTTCTTAGCGTTGGTTAACTCTTACACTAACTCAATTTGTCAGCATGAGCCCATGATGTTGCTAACTTGTTATTTGACATTAAGCTACGTTAGAATTACAAAGTTCTTTCTAGCATTCTTTTTTACCGTTGTGTTACTAAAACCACGAGATCAGCAACCAATTAATGTTATATTTGCTCTATCAAAATCATACGATTTTTCGGAGTTGTTTCAAAGATATTCATAGAAACTAATTCCATTCGTAAAAGCTTGACCTTGTTGTGATAGTCAAACTATTTTATTTCAATTTTCTAAAAAACTAGGTTTTGAGCCAACAGAACATTGTAAGTCTAGATCTAAGGTAACAATTAGATGCCCTCATCTCATCATACCGTTGTCACAGAAAATCCGGAAGCTGCCGCGCCACCTGCTGCAGAAGGCTAAGCAAGTAATCATAACACAGAGAGTGGTACCAGCGAGCGGAAATCGCCTCCTAACACCCGCTACTCGGACTCGACATCAGACATGGCACGTCGAAGCATCAGACGAGAGACCAAAACTTCCTACATGGGCCCCAGTACAAATCAGAGACACACAATATCATTCTGGCGGAACGGACACGTTAAAGAAAGATTATATATCAATTGTAAATAAATATTTTTTTTAAACAATAAAAACACGCCAATTCAAAACTCAGGTGTTTTTACAATTTCAGCACTTTCAGTTTGCGTGAGTGTGACGGACATCGGACTTGGATAATCTAATCATCTTCTCCGAGCGGCGATAAACAGAATTCAACACCCACAATGTCGGGTTGGACGGGTTATTTAATTATTAACACAGTGATTGTGGCGTCATGCTACCGAGACGTTAGGAAGGGTGCACGTTGGTCAAATGTATCCGATCTGCATGGTCAGATACGAGCATGTCGGGAAATGATGTTGAACAAGGTACATTGCATAAAGTAGACCACTGCTTCACTTCACCAAACTTGGCATGAGAAAAAATCTTTCCCCAATGTCAGGTCACACGGCGTAGCCTTCTCGTCGGCGACTGGCCACGATTTTAATCAAATGCACTCGATTGTGAGCTAGACACATTTGATTATGGGGGATCGGATCAAACGGTACCCCCCCCCCCTCTCCGTGAAGGAAAAATATGGCCGTCGTTAAAAGGATCGAACCATGTCAAATCAGGACTTGGGCAAAATTTCAACAGTGGGCATTAGTATTTGACACTAAGCTGCGAACACGATTGGAATAACTTGGGCTGCTTTCTCAGGATTGAAATCAGGGTTGGTGATTTTTTTGATTTTTTAAATTAAAATTTTTAAAATCGATTTTAAAAAATTTAAAGCACAATTTATGACAAAACGTAATGGAGTCACTAAGGTGGCAGTCTAAGAGTAAGACAGGTGTTATAGTTATTGCTTTGTGTGATAGGGGTTGTGTATTGAAATATGGTGGCCGCGGCCGCGTTGGACAGGTGCCCGTTTTACACAGTTAAATTATATAGAAAAAACGCAAGGGGGAAATGGAAAGTGTCTGTACTTGTACAGGTGGCCGTCTTATAGAGGTGGCTGTCAGGGCAGGTTCGACTGTATCTGTTTTATGAAACCTAGGAAAGGAATTCTGAATGTTGAAATATGTAAAAACTGAATAAAAAATTTTTTTAAAAGTGATTTATTTAAATCACTGATTTTTATTTAAAAAATCAAGTTGATTTAAATGTTAAAAATCAACTGATCTAAACCAACCCAACACTGATTGAAATAGCTCGCCATGTTGCTAGAATTATTGGTGTTACCGACACACTTCTCCCGTAGTCACAAGTATAACTTTTGACCCTCTCCATATTCAAGGATATAATACTGCAAATAAATACAATAATTTAAAGCCCTATTTAATTAAATGAAAGATAGGTTTAATTTAGTTTTATTTTCAATGACCAAATGGCTTGTCTCTGTCTTTCAAAGATAGTTATTTTCTTATAATATAATCTTTTTAGAAACAATGACCCAATGACCCTCTCTTCACGGACCACTGTAGTGACGTCGCTTGCAATGGAAACAAAACTATATCGCAGACAGGCTTTAGAGATGCATAAAAAAGGCAAGAGTCTGACAATACATTCTCCTCTCGAAGTCTGCCCCTGCGTCGGGAGTCGGTGTGCACAGTGCTCACATACACTTCAAGTTCAAGGTCTGATCTTGTGGTAGTAAGTTAAGTAAGGTGACAAGTCGGTGTCATAGTCATAGTCATAGTAAAAGGTGGGGGGGGGGGGGGGGTGTGATTGATTTAGCTGTTTACGCCCCCATCGATACAGTTCAGATAATTAAAGAAGCGTGCTTCGACACTGCTTGATTGTCAGGACCAACCGGGTCTGAAACTGTAAGAGAACAACCCACACTAACACAGCATCCCAGCTGGCAGACATAGATCAAGATCGAATATAATATTCGATAAAAATTCTCCCAACCCGGGAATAGAACTCATCAGGTCTTGTGTGTTTGCGGCTAAGTAAGCGCCTAACCGCTACACTACAGACGCCGGTTGTAGTAATACATGTATATAATAATGTGCGTAAATGATGTAAAGGTCCCCTACACTAGACAGCCATTTTCAATTCGCGTAGCCTACGTTCAGTCTGTCTCAGTCTCAGGTGAGCAGACAGCTTTAGTCTCGATGATAATCAATCAGTGATTTGGTTGAGGAAAGACGCAACAAATGTGGGCAATGATTTCCAGCCTGTGACTGTGATTGTGATTATGATTATGATTAAACACCAAGGTCTACTCCTGTCTTCCCTTCAATATGGATGGTATTTTTACAACCACCTGCACCTAAATACAAATCAGATCGTCTTATCCGATGCAATGTACTTTGGCGAGAGAAAAAGTCTGATGTTTGCGCTGCTCTTTCTCTCTTTAAAATGACCTCTGCGCAGGTTAAACATCTGCTTTTATATTCTATCCTTCCCCTTTTCGTTGTCGTCTAACCCCATCAAATTTCTGCGGCAACGGGTGAGTGCGGTGGCAGCTGACTTGCATATATGAGCATGAGGCTTCATGAATAAAAAATGCTGACACCAAGAAAGAAGCCAGCAAGCTGCGCACATCCACAAGTGAAAGTGGAGCTTTTAAATGTTCAAATTGTGGCAAACTTTTCTCTGCACGAATTGGTCACATCGGACACAGAAAGAAGCCACAAGTCATCATAACCTTTAATTCTTATATTTCGCTGGAGAATAAATTATATTCTCCTCAACAGAGGTATTAGCCATTGTCAGACATTGACAGACGAGCTATTACATAATATATTATTGTTACTACTGTCTGTAAGGTGCTCACACTTCCAGGTCTAATCTTAAAATTCTATATAGTGTGTAACTTCTACAGAAGTATCAACACAATTAGGACACATAGAATAGATGCCTAAGGTTAGAAGTGTTGTAAGACAGCAACAAACACACAAAAAAGTGAGATATAACTTAATAAGGATGATATTGATAGACGTTTGGTATGTGGGTTGTTGGCGGGTGCTGTTCTGCTTCTTCTTTCTTTTGTATGTTACCCTCTCACAACACGCACCGCTAATCTTTGACACTTATGTGACCTATCTGTGTTGCAAGTGCCATAAAAATCACACTAAAACTAAAGATGTTCGATTGAGAAGGTGGAAACGACACCAGAGCACTGACCAACCAGTCACTAGTTTTGCGTTTGAGTAAAGACAGGCACACTGACATAATAAAGGTCATTGACTCATTTAGTGCTGGGAAAAAACAAGACGGATAGACAGAAAAGTAGGACCTGCCAGTGATGCCCTCTAACCACACACACAACCAAAGAGCAAAGCCATACTGGAGGTCTAACAATATTTATTAGAAAACAATACCCAGGCATACTATTTTGAGAACACAGACATACAAGCCTAACAAAAATACACAAAAAATAGCCAATACATAAACTCGATAGATCGACATCAAAACACTGCCACATGTTGAGTAACCTAAAGTTTCCTTGAGGATCACAACCACGACAACCACAACCATCGTCAGAGACGGGGCCAGGCAGTTGTTCCTTCCTCATACTCACAATCCATCACAGACCAACGTGTTAGAGTTAGAGACAACTAACTGGACAATCTCCGTCCAGAGCTCCTCAGTCCTCGTGTCCGTCTTCTCTGAATGGACTACACACATTTAAACAATTAATATCAAAGACCCAAACTCGAACCCAATGCAAGAAAAGAAGGCACAGATTAGGACCTTGTCCACTTGTCTCCGCCTGAACATCAGCAAAGAGTTTACCCAGGACAGTGACAGAAGAGATTCAATGACTGCGCAACAATATCACAACCAATTATTCCCCTTCATTCATCTATCACAACATTATCTGCAGATGCACATCAACAGGCAAACTAACCAGCATTAAAACAAACAAAAGACAAACTAAACAAACAAACCCTTCACTCGACATAAGCACCAGTCAGTATTTAGAGGATGTGATAATTCTATAGGACATGTAAAATTTGAAAAGAGACAGGGTACAGTAGGTAGAGTACCGTAGAGTACATCAGGAAGGCCAAAGATAAATTTAATAAAGCAAAGGAAAAAGAAAGAGAGAGAGAGAAAAAATATTTTAAAATCCATATGATTACAAGAAGAATAAAAATAAGCATGTGGGGTGAGGGGGGGAGGAGAGAGAGAGAGAGAGAGAGAGAGAGAGAGAGAAAGGGAGAGAGAGAGAGAGAGAAAGGGAGAGGGAAAAAGTAATAATAAATAAACTACACATTACTGGGCAATGATTACACAAATTTGTGATATAACATATAAAAAACTAAAGATCACACTCACTGAACAAGAAAAGTATCTGCTTAATAAATCAAACTATTTTTTTAATTAAACAAAAATTACAGCTCTGGCAATGCCTTTGTCAGAACTGTTTCATGGATGCATGGGCTGGACTGAAGTGACCGAAGGGGGAAAAGCCAGCCTCAGGTAGTTCCCTGGCCCTGCCCACCCCAGCGCGGCGTTCTGCACTCGCCGACATCCGACAAGCCCTACCCGTCAGGGTTTGAGAACTCGTCTTCACAAGTCTGGGTGAGCACGGCCACAGGTACAGGCGAGACAGACTGTTGCCCGTTGCAGTCAAAACTTCTTGGCCCATTGATCACTTCCCCTGACCTCCCCTTCACTCACTGCATGCAAAAACAAACCCACACACACACACATACATACGCACATGCACACACACCCACACACACTCCCTCATTCACATATTATATCTATGCACACACATACACAAACATTCTCTCTCACACACACACACACACACACACACACACACACACACACACACACTTGGTGACATAAGATGTTACAACTCTACAATTACTACTATCCTTGTCATATTTTCTAACCTTCTCAATCTCACAGCCAGAATTTGGCGGACTTTTCTTCCTCAAGACAATGGCACAAGTTTTGTATAATGAAAATGTCTGCAAAAAATTTGTTGCTAACAACCTTTAACATGGATATTTCCGAGACACAAGTCCCTTGAGCTGAAAGTTTTCACCATATGTGCCTTTAGCTGAAAGTTTCTTTGATACACTTCATTGACTGAACTACTGCATACAAATGTCCTGAATGCGTGGAAAGCGAATCCTTGAGAGGAGGGTGTGGGTGACAAACGTCATTCTCTGGGGGGGGGGTCAGGTCAGGACCAGGGAAAGATGACTCATCTTGCTACAAGTATTTGTTGATATCTTTCTCAATAGACTGAAAAAAAAAAATTTTTTAAATTGTAAAAATCATTCACTGAGGCAGAACCTGGAATAAAATTATTTGAACATTAAGTGAACTAGTCGCTTAGCTAAGTCACCACAAGAAAAGACCACATTGTGCCAAGAAGACATTAAGATTAAGACAACAATAACACTGAACAGGAGAAAAAGGAGCTGACTTAGCAAGGCACATGCCAACAATCCACTATCTAGATACATAATATATATTTAGAATTACATGTATGCTTTTTTTTAGTAAATGTTTTATGGCACTTGCAACACAATAAGTGCCCTTGATTAGAGGCGTTACAAGAGAGTAACAAACACAAAAAAGGAGGAGAGGAGAGATCAGGACAATAGACGTTGAATAGGAAAGAAGGAGCAAACAACACCAGAGCCCCCGCCAACCACCCACTTAGAATTATGACAAAGTTTAAGTGAATAAAAATTGAAACAATAGTAGGGAACGGGATGGGGCACATCCCTCAAGACTCATCAGAGCAGAGGAAGATAAGACTAATGCTAACATTATCTAAAATTAATTTTTAAAAACCTAAAAAAACAGAAGCATGTCTTCTTAATAACTATATACATAAACATCATCCCACATCATCACTTAACACCACCACCACCGTCATTTCTAAAATCATCATTGCTCTCAGTCTCAGGTCCTTCACAAACATCTATAATTATCTTGAACATCTATATGTAACAGTTATATGTTATAACAATTATGTACGTAATACATTATTGCGCACTATCATACGCACATTTTTCCACTAATCAGATGGCATCAATATAATAACATTTAATAGAAACGGGCAAGGGACAAAAAAAAAAGAAGAAAAAAAAAAGAAAGAAAAAAAAAAGAAACTGAACAATAAAGGGTCGTTGGTAAAGAGGATCTATATCTCTGGCCTTTGAGTTTCATTGATCACAACTGATACATAAATTCATTTTTTTAGACCTAGGTCTCTGACTTTCATTTGAAACCACACCTTTTTGCTTAGATCCAGCACCCTATCATCTTCTTCAAGGAAATTTTTTTTTAAATATTCAAAGCCTTTTCTTTATTCATACCCAGCTACATCTAGATCAGACATTATAAGAGTTGAAAGAAGACAAATAATATTAACACAGTCAAACCTCCTAGATCAAATGCTTTTTTCCGATTTGCTCCTTCCCCTCCCATCCCACCTTCCCCCCCTTGTCTTGTAGATTCAGGCAATATGGGTAGATCTACAGTGATGTAGTGTGTCGCAAGCTAACAAAATACAATGTGTAATGTAGAAGAGTACAATTAAACTAAAACATAACTTTGTACTTCAGCATTAAATTTCAATATTTCTAAAAAAGAAATTGGAATTAAATTTTTGAGTCGCATGAAGAAACTTTAAAAGAGCCTCACCATAACAACTCCCTTCCAAAATCTGGCATCGCTAGATATTATCCCAAAATAACTTAGTCTGGCGTATGCCAGTGGGGCTTTTTTATTTAGTGAGGAACCACACTCAAGTCTAAGTGACAGGTCAATGGGCAGTTAGTGCTACATTTATTTAACAGAGGACATGAAAACCTCATTGTACCACCATCCCCGTTGTACCGCCAACTTCATGCTTGTTCCAGGGTAGGCTGTATAACGAGGTATGACTGTAATATTGAGCTCTTTAATTCGGCTTCAAAGAAATTTAATATTATGTAAAGGGATGGGACTGAGAATGTCATGAACACATAAATGTTACGAGACACGAAAAAATATCATAAGACAGAGTGAAGAGCATTATGGACCGAGAACTGGATCTATACATAGTAGAGAATTTCACGAACAAACATCACAAAAGAAAATACAGAACATCACTGACAAACAAATGTAAAACGGCCTGAGACAGAATGGAGAATGTAATGGACAAATAGCAGGTCGAGAACAAACAAATGCCAGACTTACAAATGGTTCCACGTTGGGTGCATATCTTTTGACAGGCTTCCCCTCTCTGTCCACCAGGAATTTAGAGAAGTTCCACTTGATGAAGCTGGAGACAAATTGAATTATATATGTTATGGACAAAAACAACAATGAGAAATGTGTCATCATAAATTATAATAAGCCAGCTATTCTTCATCCATCACAACTCTACTTTACTTCTACTACTACCCTACAACACACCTATCACACAATCCATGTTATTATCTCTTTAGACTGGTTCACGAATCTCTATTTCGGCCCACAGGATTTTTAAGAGACATCTCTTTAGGACAACCCACAGAGCTGTATATCACTCTGAGAGGTTTAATTGAGAGAGAGTGTCCCAGAATTCTTGTGAGAGAGAGGGAGAGAGAGAGAAGGAGAGAAACAGAGAGAGAGAGAGAGAGACAGAGAGAGAGAGAGAGAGAGAGAGAGAGAGAGAGAGAGAGAGAGAGAGAGAGAGAGAGAGAGAGAGAAGGGGGGAGGGGAGAGAGAGAAGGGGGGGAGGGGAGAAAGAGAGGGGAAGCAAGAGGGAGGGAGAGAGATACTTACTTTCCGAACGTTCCCTTCTGCTCTTTCTTGAGGTAGTTGTACAGAGGGATAGCTTCACTTCCATTCACATTGATCTTAGCAAACAAATCAAATTGTGCCCCATACTTCTCCTGAGCAAACTTTTTGATTTCCTCATTCGTTCCCGGCTCCTGAAATAATAAATCGTTTACTTTGAACAGTGTACAGTCGAAACTCTCCAAGACAGCCATCCATTGTTGAGAAAAAAAGTGGTTGGCTTAGACAGGTGGACGTCTTGAACAGTGTTATTAAAGTATGTAAGCATCACGATGAAATCAGGCGGTGCTCATCAAAATAAGAAATCAAAGAAATCAACAGTTGAGTAATTTTTATCGATTAAAAAAAAACCTTTTTCTTAGGCTCAACACCAATTACATTTATTTACAGACACATTTCTGTGTGGATTTTACTGAAAGGTGTTGATCAAAGGCACTATAGGGTTAAACAGAAAGGACATGTTTAGAATAATAAGCGATGTGAAAATGGATTTCCGTAAATATTAACGGAAATGATGGGGAAAAAAAGTCAACAGCATCCCTGCTGCTGTAAGGACTCACCTGACTCTTGAATTGGTTACAAGGAAATGCCAGGATGGCCAGTCCTTTCTCAGCCAGCTTGACGTGCAGTGCCTGCAGCTGAGTGTAGTTCTTGTCTGTGAAACCTCATTTGGAGGCCACATTCACAATGAGACAAACTTTCCCACTGGGGACACGAGACACAAACAAGGCAGGATCATCAATATGGTCTTGGACTATCAACATGTTTCAGAAAAGCTGGTTGTGTGGTCAACTACATAGTACAAGCAGGAGGCTTGACACTTTATTCATAACCCAATAAGGGACACCAAAATTTAACACACTTGAGCCTATTCCTGTGTATTTATGGGACGCCCTGCTGGCCCGGTGGCCGAATCCCGTGTATTATTACTATATCAATCGGTATCTTCTGTGTTTTTCTGTCAGAAGCTATGGGAAACGGCACGCTAACAGTTGACCACTTGTTCACTTTGTTAAAATTTTTTTAGTGAAGTTATGTGTGACACTTTTTTTCAGCTGACTGAGTCAGTCACCCCCCCACCCCCCAAATTGCATTAGATGATTTTTATTATAAATTGGGCGCCCAAAAAAATTGCGTCACCCCAAAACATTGTGATTCCAAAAATTGATAAAATAAAAACTTTTAGGAAAAATCAGAAGCAGTTTTCTTTTTCTGTGAGAGCATTTCTTTCTTTCTTTTGTTGCATTTTGAAAATTATGATAGCTTTCACTGCCTTTTGGTGGGTAACAGTTCAATATACCTCAAAACTGTAAGGCGGCAATGATTGTTGGGTGAAAAATAGCTAAGGCTCAAGCGACTTAAAACTTTAGATTACCTGACAATAAACAAAATTATATAACAAGTGGGTGCAGAGCTAGTTTTGGTGCAGAATATGTGATACAGCTCTCAAATTCCCAACTGTTGAATCTGGGACAGTCCCAGGAAATTGGGAGAGTTGCCAATCCTGATGGAACAGGTGTGTCATAGGGTCAATTGCATGTTGTCAGATACCTAGGGTAGATGCTCCAAGTATTTTAATTAATGGTTTTGGCAAAAATCACTTTTTGACCTATTCTAAAGTACTGGGAAAGGGTGTATGCTCTGTAAAAACCTTGGAGTCTTGCAATTATTTTATGAAAATATAAGTTATATTGAAATTCCATTAATTGCTCACAGATATATATAGTAGTGAAAAATCTGTTTTTTGCTTCTCATGTAAAATTAGAAAAAACTCTTACCAATTACTGATAGTTGGGCTGCTACAATGCTACCCCGCGATACATTTTATGGGTGTGAATTATGTGGACAGTTGCTTGTTCCTCCCAGTAGATTCCGGGTACTGGTAGACCCAATGCACACCAGCAAGAAGGCACCCCTCTTCCAAAGGAGTAAAAAACCCATGGTCGTCTAAGCCCAGAAAGACCCTGACAATATTTACTGTGCTGTCTTGTCAGCCCTGCTTCCTTTCTTCATCTTTGTTCTTATCATCGGAGAAAAAAATCTATCTTCAAAACAAATCTATTGAGCCTTGAGAATTATATCCAAACAAAAACAACATTTACCTGTATTTGTCTAACTTGACAGAATTGCCATCAATATCTAGAACTTCAAATTCATAGATGGACTTGGCATTCTTCCAACTGTCATCTCCTCCAGCTGCCTGCAAAGGAGGAGAACAAATGCAGGAAAATAAAAACCGAGACTTAAGAGGAAGAGAGGTTAAAATATGTGCAGAGTCAAATAAAATAAATACAAGACAAATAACTTGCCCTGAAAGTTTTTGCAGACACACTTATAAAAGTTACACAATAAATTAGTAAAGACTTCTGTTACTGTATAAGTATAAAAGAGTTAAAAGCATTTCTTTTCTTATACAGTCTAGTATACACAATAACATATACGAGCGTATATACGGCAAAATCGGCGGGACACAGAAAATTTGTGTTATATGTGTATGAATTTTGTACTGTAAATGTTTTAAATACAAAGAATACACGTTAACAAAAAGCTTTGGAACCTGAAAATCTGTTCACTATGTGCATGTTACATTAAGTGCATGTTCAAAGTGCATGCTTGACTATATTTCCGAGTCAAGTTGTTCAGAAATTTTAACTCCTCTTTGTCTTTGTTGTGAATGTTGACACTTCAAAACGTTTTTCATAATTGTTATTTTATCAACTATTAGACTTGTGCTATAGTTGCCTGAAATTAAGGGGTGGATACGGAGAAGTTCAGGCCCACAGTACATTTGAATTTGAAAGAAGATAATTTAAGCAGACAATGAGGTCAGTGATTCTATAACTTGGGAATAGTAAAGTTTGGGTGAAGGATATAATAATTATATATATAAGAACAGAGAATTGTGAGGGAAAATAAAATTCAGGCAGAGAATGGTGGAAAAATGAAAGTCAGTCGCTTTCGAAACGAGGACTACAACTGAAAACCCTTTATATATATATAATTGGTACCTCATCTTGACGAGTCAAAAGCATTTTTACATGGAGCAAGAAAAGAAGGACAATCAGGGGTATATATAACTCCATAAGTATAAGTTCTCTTCTTTGACAATGGAACTGATTTGTCAGATTCAGAAATTATGAAACTACTCAAATTGCTGAAATGGAAAATCAGACTTCATGAATATATATTGAAATAAGAAAATTGAAGAATGTTTGTTTCTTGGAGACAAAATGTCGCAAAAATAATTCCTTCTTAACAAGTCAAGTTTTACTGGAAACCTATGATGGGTGGAGCCCATGGAGGAAGGAATCTTAACCAACTAAATAATATTTTCGTCATGCCAGTAGAAGTTGAACCCACAGATACCGAAACCATCAACGATAGTATGTAGGCCATGTAAATACAGGCTCTTTTTTTCTCCCAGCAAACCCCAAATGGAGTGTAAATTGTTGTCCCCTGTTCAAACAGTCCCCTTACATTTCTTGTTTATTTTGCAACTGGGCTCATTGAGGTCCAAAGGTTTACTCCATCTGTTGTCCTTGTCAATCCTTCCCTTGAGGCAAGCTTTAGGGCATTCAATGCCACCACCAGGCTATCTATTATTTTCCCATCACCAGAATGTAGGTCACACACAGTAAACTTGATTTTTTGGAAGATGGCAAATGTTGCTGACACTTGGTATACCCATTGGGGGATCGGTTTTCTGACAAAAAACGATCACCCAACTCGCAGCCTTGAAAACAATTTTACGCATTTGTTTTTAAAGGTTACTGTCAGCCTCGTTCAGTTGTTCTTTTCGCCCTCAATCTTGCTAGCCCCGCCTACCAACGAATCGAACCAAACCGAACCGATTGAGTCAATGGGCACTGGGTAAGTCTTATTAGAAAAACCTTACACGGACCATAAATGAACCCAGAGCATTCATAGAATCCAGACATAACAATTTGGTGTATATTCTGCCTCTATCCATGGTGTGTTATTCCGTAATAGAAATAATAATATACTGGGTAACGGTATCATCAAAGTAACTATTATAATACTAATTATAAGCAAACATCTACAAGACCGTTGTTGGATTCTTTTTAAACTATTCTGTGAACAAAAGCAAAGAGGCTCCACAAACGCTGACAGAAAGTTAAATTATTATTAAATCTTTATAGTATTATAATTATAGGCCAATGAAAGACAATAATTAATAATGTATAATATATCGAATTATACAGAGGCATTTGATATTCTGTTAAAAAAAAAAAAAAACTGAATAAAAAATTATAGAAAACCCAGTACTTCAGCATACCAGTGAATTTTAAAGTTATTAACTCAGATCAAACCTCCTAAAAGCATGTCTACCAGTGAGTGGGTATGGTAGGGTACCCTAATTTCGACCGATGCCTAACTTTGACCGTTACACCCCAACAGTAAAAAGCGATTATTTTTCAGAAAATTTGTTTTGCTTTCTATGGCAAGTCTTGTTTGGGAGATATTATTTGATCTCCAGCGTGGGAGGTAGGCTTTGCCAAGCGTATTTTCTGCGGGTAATGAATGTCAAATCGCCATGCTTTCGCTTTTGTGTTTCAAGGTAGGGCGTTTTCGGGCCGACCCCATAATTTTCACGTTTTCACTGTACCTGACAAAAATGCCGAAAAAGCAAGATTATTTTAATGAAAGGGTGTTTTTACAGATTTTTCCAGCTTGGTAATGATTTATCTCAGTTTACATGATGATAAAAGCATGAATCCTTGCTTTTATAGTCAGTGAGACTGGGGAAAAGTGTGGTCGAAGCTAGGAATAGGCATTTTTGGTATTCTAACTTGGACCGCAAGATATCCCAACGTGGTGATTAGGATAGCCTAATAATAAGACTACTGCTTGTGGCTATTGCTGTTGTTGTTGTTGTTGTTGCTGCTGCTGCTGCTGCTACTGCTGCTGCTGCTGCTGCTGCTGCTGCTGCTGCTGCTGATGATGATGATGATGATGATGAAATTGGGTGGTCATGCTATGACTATGATTTTTTATGATGGTGGTAGTAGTGGTGTTGGTGAGGAAGATAATGATGATGATGATGATGATGATGATGATGATGATGATGATGATGATGATGATGATGATGATGATGATAATGAAGATGGTTATAATCATAATGATGATGAAAATGATGAGGAGGAGGAAGAGCATGAGGGGGACGAGGAAGAGGACATTCAGTTGAAAAATTTTAATATGGTTAGCCTAACACAAGAGAGGGGGAGGGGGTGATGGTGATGTCAAGGGGCTGCTGCACCTTTGTTGATGATGCTATTGAAAGGCTGGGCTAGTGATGAGACCTTTGTATCAATGAGCATATTAGAAAAGAGAGGTGGTCGGCATAGCCTAGCCCACATCCTTGGCAAAAATTAACTAAAGATCAAAGGTTTGGATCATAGTGGTCGATGTGAGGACACACGGTCGAAGTTGGGCTTTGACATCGGTCGAAATTAGGGACACCTACCCCAGTCACATTCAAGTTCAAGAAGCGTTAAAAAACGAGTCCTATAAGGCAATATTATTACTATTTTTGCTCTAAACCAATCAGAAGATGTGTCTCATTCAGGGAGGAGTGGAGAAGGCTGGCCTGTTTGACAGGGTAATCAAAGTGAGACAAGGAACCAGATAGAGATGTCACACATGAAGATTACTCTAGATGGTAACACTGAGTTGTGAATGAAAACAAATCCTAAATTCATATTGTATGTTCAACCGCCAAAATAATTGGTAAAGTATCTCATTAAATATTTATTTAATTAAGCTAACAACTAAATTTAACTATAGCATGAATAGACAAACAAAATACAAAGAAGCAAAGATGTCAATACTACAGGCAATAACATAACAATTATCAATTTATCTTTTATTTCAAATTTGGATGAATTGCTCTAGCTTTTCCAGGCCAGGAGTCGGTGTCATAATTGAGGACACAATCTAATTATAGGACGGTAAAAAGTCGAGGAAATAAACCAAGCACTCACAGCAGACATGAGACTAATATAAAAGAGTTCCCCTCGCAATTGTGGGGTTGACTCATCCAGTGTAATAGTTAGCTTAATCAGCACTTGTGACTGCTTAAATATAAATGACAGTGGCCCGAAAGGGGTAGGGAACAAGGTATTTATGTGGCAACGAAACAGTTTTGAGTGTTGTGCACATCATGTTCCCTTTAACTCTTTTGGTAGACTCTTTCGGCCTCACTTTAAGCTTCCATAATATATAATTAAAGCTTGTGACTGCTTATGGAGTGGCCCGAGAACAGGGTATTTATGTGGCAATGAAACAGTTCTGGGGAAGATTGAAGAATACTCGACCACTCGTACATTATTGCGTGAGAATGTGGGGTAGGTGGGGCGGGTGGTTGGGGGGGAGGAGGGGGGAGGGGGGGTTCATGGGGGTCTCCCCCCTGACAAAATTATAATGAATAGATCTGCCGGTCTAAGATTCTCCTTTGAGAGATATTAAAAACGGGAAAATTATGAATTCCTAAGGTTGAATTTTAGGCATAGATCTAGATCTATACATTTTAGACTGTTCACTGGTGATTTAGAACGTCTTTTGACATATAATTTATATTATGAGGTCTAATTTTTTTGGTGAATTTGACTGCGAAAAATTTCAAAGGAAGCAGTGATTATTTGATATTAGCCTTTATTATATATATATAAATATTATAGATGCTTCGCCACTGGTCTCATTGCTGTAGTTGTTATTTGAAAGGCGTAGCCTAATTGGTTGCCAAATTCCACAAGCTGGAGGCGGAGGGTCACCAACCCCTTACATATAAATATAATATACACACACAGAAGTCTGAGAAGACACACCCTTTAAATTATGTGGGTTGAACAGTGCAAAACCATAATATAGAGTAAACTTGTCTAGAATCTAGATCTAGATCTAGATCTAGAATCTAGATCTAGATCTAGATGTAGATCTAGATTAGGCTACACGTTAATCGCGGTCAGTCAGGTATGTAGGCTATTCACACACACACACACACACACACACACACACACACACTGCACACTACACACACACACTACACACACACACACACACACAATAATAGGCACTAGACGTCTACAATAAAATATCTAGATCTAGATCTAGATCTAATCTAGATTCTAGAGAGTATAATCACAGCAGAAACACTCGAGACTCACCATGTTGGAGGACGATCGAATCGAACTGCAGGAGCCTATGGTGGACTCTGACACGGACGCGCTGAACCTTGTTTTATAAACTCGAAGGAGGGGAGACAACAAACGACAGGATGTCGTCCCGTAGATCTTCATGGATAGTGACACAGCAAAAAAAAAAAAAGTTAGCCAGGCAACGATCTATAATAATAACCCTCTGACTCCGACCCAACGACCCAAGCCAAGCGAACCTCTTTGAGCAACAAGCGACAGAGCTTCTAGCTCTAGATTTACTTGGCCTTTGGGAAAGGGGAGGACGGGGAGTGCAACCTTTGACCCCAAACACCATCGACTTTCTGTTCAGTGCACCAACCATCAAACGACGCACCGAAGACAGGCCAACGCGCAGTGGCATAACGGGTGAAGCTCGTTGAGCGTGGCAGGCAGAAGATAAAAAGACGCAAACTAGAATAAGCCTATGATTCTCTCTCTCTCTCTCTCTCTCTCTCTCTCTCTCTCTCTCTCTCTCTCTCTCTCTCTCTCTCTCTCTCTCTCTCTCTCTCTCTCCGCTTCACCCCACTCTTTCTCTCTTTTTTCTCTCTTCTCTTCCTCTCCCCCTCCCTCTCTCTTCCTCCTTTTATCTCAACCCCCTCTCTCACCCCCTCGCTCTCTCTGTCTCTCAAGTCTGTCCCCCCCCCCCTTTTCCTAAGAAAAAAAGATAAATATTGTTTCAAATCATAATGCATTAAAAATGTGTAGGCCTATTCAAAATATTTGACTTAGACCTATATTATTTTTAATTATGATATGATATTATTATAATTATAATCAAAATTCAGGAATGTCTTCGTCACAGAGTATGTCTTCGGCTAAAACCAAACAACATTTGTCATGGTCACGGCTATTACTATTACACGTAAGCTTAATTCGCTAAATTTTGGTTATCTAATTTTATTTGTTGTTAAATTAATCTTAACACGAGCTATTGTTGTTGTTGTTGTCGTTGTCTTTCTCACATAATATTGAAGTAGTATGTTCCAAACAAAAACAAATGAAGAAGTCTTAGTTGAAGCAAATTGCAGAAGACAGCTTAGACGAATATACGAAAGCGACAGGCAAATTTCTTCGGACACACATAGCGGACAGATGCATAGGAGAATATTGTAACAACAGGAAAGTTTGATGGAAAGAGAGGCAAAGGCAGTCAGGGGGAGAAAGATACTGGACAAGATGACAACATGGCTAGGAGCAGCAAGAACAACACACACCATTGCAGCAACGCAAGACAAAGTGAAGTGGAGGTCCATGATCGCCCGCGCCAGTCGTCGGCAAGGCACCGGATGATGATGATGTTCCAAAAGGCTGTATGCTAGCTTTTGGGAAGAATGCCTTTCCCTTTGTTAATAGTAATAGCCTACAATATTATTATTATACTACATGTACTTGACAACAGAATCAAACTTTGTCTTTGTAGATCAGTATAAAAACTACGACAGGCAGGGTGAATGTTATAGATATAAATTAATAGCGATATACTCACTTGTGAGTAAATATCTGCACTATCTTGGCAGAAAGTAAGAGCACATAAAGAACATAGTATCCGAGAGGTTCTATTCTCATTGTCATAGTATGGCTAAAAATTGTTCTAGCTATATAATTGTAAGGGCAATAAGTCGAGCCTGCTTCAGCCAGCTAGGTTATTCATTGTCCACACATTGACAGTCTCACAAGAAACTAATGTAGAACCAGAAACCTTTGCTCGAATTATGGATGTTTATTTGCTTGTGATTCGAATTTTACGGCCAATTAAAAAGAGAAACTCTATGATCGCAGTATAATGAATATATATAGTTTGAATGCTGCGTGCTAAATTTTATAATAAACCCAGCATCAAGCGAAACAGTGGTAGAATGAAGGTTAGCTAAACATCACAGAACTAACTGCATTTGATTCAAATCTCAAACAAGTTGTGTACCCCCGGGGTTGTATTCTCCACATTTTAGAATTCTTTTAGTGCGAAGATCTCTTTGAAACTTTCTTTTAAAAAATCATTTTGACAGACTGCTATGCAAAGCCGACGGATCGGATTAAGGAGTAAATTTCCTCTTTGGAAAGTGGTGGCACAGAGTTCCCCACGTCATATGGATAACACGACGTTCGGATAGGGTTAAGAAATAGTCACACTGTATTTTAGGAACTTCTGCTGTCTAAATATCAGATTAACAAATTGGTAGAAAATATGGACCAAATAACGAAAGGTTATCATTATCAGCTGTCTAACAACGAGTTAACCTTTTGTATCCTGGTCTCTTGGCTTATTTCGCAGGCCATCTGTTCATCTTATGTTTGCTCCCCTACTGAAGCATTCAACTATCCCAATTGGGTGGGAGATAAAATCCCAATTAATCAATTCTATCTAGATCTAAGTCTAGTTGTTCCAAGTTGAGACAACGCAAAAATGTCAAACTTGAACGCTGGCTAACCTCCTCAAATTTAAACAACAATAATGTTCATATGATGTCTAGGAAAGCTGTCAACGTGACCAGATGTTTCGATATTCGTAACCAAATTGGAACTAATATTTTTCACCATCATCATATTCATTAACTAAAAATAAAGTGGCTTGGGCACTTTAACGGAACACCACTGTGAAGCGAGCAATAATTATACAGTATTTGAAAATAGAAAAAGTGAGTGAATGAGATTGTAAGCACCAAAGATACTTTAACACTACAAGACCGATTTTGCATAAATAGCCTGAGGCCTGAGGCATGCTGGCTACAGGCTTCACACTTTTATTGGTGCGGGAATGATTATTGCACTGTGTTAGCTTAACACGTTGTATTCCCCAATGACCAACGAGTCCCCGTTGAGCGTTTTTTGATGATATGGTGCAGAGGAGGTATCCCGCAGAAGACCTCGCATGATTCATTGAGCATGTAGTGGACGTGGTATAATTCGGTGGGAATGTGCTGTGAGTTCATGATAACATAAAAAATCATGGTGAACACGACAAGGCCACTGACTCACTTACACATCCCCCAAGATATGCCTCGGATCGTGATCTTGGGCTGCGAGATATCAGGCTTCACTGATGGAATTGGCCTCTCAGTCCAGTGAGATGTTGTCGAAGAGCTCAGCTGTTACCATCCCTCACAATTACCCACACAATATACACGTGTATCATTAAAGAAGAATAATCCGAATTGTTCTAATAATGAGTGTAAATAACGAGTGCTCGAATCACCTTCATAAGCTGATACCAGGACAAGTTTACATATTATTACTCAGTAGGTATCCCTTTGGTGACCATGCGAGCAGTAGGCCTACATTCATAAAAATTAATTTATGCTGATGGTTCAGTTGGTAATTCAATTATCAATTGGTATGCCTGAGCTCGTACTCACATGAAGGATGTTGCAACGGATACATTTATATTCTCTTTGCTGTCTTATTTCACTTGCCATTGTAGGGTAACCTATTTAAATTTGATTGCATCTCAACGAAGATGCAGTTCATTCTTCAAGCATATTACAGCATAATTTTATTATGTTCGAATCATTTCCATGTGTTAACGTGAAGAAAATATTATTCTCCCTCTAGCAAGATGGCATCAGTCTGCCCTTTGATCATGATACACTCTCGTGAGTTCACACAGACAAAAATGTTCATGTCAGAAAGCTGAACAATTTCTGTTGTGTGGTCAAAATAAACGAACAACTTCAGTAGTCCTATGCTTAATGGGACAATGTATTGATCTGCATTCAGGTTAGGCAACATCCATGATAAAACCGAGCAAGCCTTGGTAACTGTACTTTTAATAGGCATCGCACATAACCAGCTCGAGGACAGAAGAAGTTCAAATGAGAGCAAATGTCTATTTTCCCACTCCACCATCCAAAAAAACACGCTCTAGGTCCATTATGCCCACCTTTTCCTTGACCACAGAGAATAGCGAAACAAGTCCGAAATATAAGCTACGTCAGCGTAACTTCCGAGCTTCTCAGTTAGAAAATAAGAACATGCCTACAGATAAGGGGCTGTTCAAATATAATCTTACACCTTTTTGGGGACTTTT